CACATCTAACTTTTTTACTACAATAAAAGATTCTTACACAACATTACATCTTAACTCAAATTAAAAACTTAAATTAACAAATCGAACGGACCCTAAATTAAGCCTATGTTAACATTCGAGTATTACACAAATTAGAGGATTCAGCTAGAATGGTGCACATTGGATAGCTCCTTCAAACTCCTTCCGGAGGAAGGTTTCATTATTTATTAGAAAAAAGGTACAATTATTCTCATTACAATTGTATTGTAGATTTATGTGGAACCCACAGCCCTTCCTCCACAAGGAGAGAACAGAGGATTTCCCCTTTAATGAATGATTATGGAATTTGGTGACCCCATGAACTCTTTACCGCTAGCTTCCAAAAGCGTTGCATTGAAATTGCTTTTCCCAAAACCAATGACAATATCCTAACTTTCTTCCCCAGTGGCCCACACATTTGGAAAACCTAGTTCTGCTCTGTACCGACAATCACAACAGGGTCCGAGATTAATCTTTTTAAGGATGTCGTTTTAGCCCGTGTTTGATGGAGTGGAATAGTGTGAGAATAAATAAATTGGAGTAGAGATTTTGGAGGATGAAAAGTAATCTTGAGTTGTGGTAATGAATAAATTGAAAAAGAATGAAGTTGTGAATCACAAATCTTCTTCTTATTTATAGAAGGTTATAATTATAAAATTAAATTACATTATTAATCCTTTTTTTAATTTTTCTACCAAACGATATGAAAGAAAAGTTTTAGGCGCGTTTAGAACTCGTTTTAAAATAATTTTATTTTTTATTTGCAAATGAAAATGAAAATATTTTCAATCTTAAACAGAAATTATTTTTAAAAATAGTTTTGATAATTTTATCAAGATATTATTTTCAGTATAAAAAAACTTATTAATGTTTCTGTCTCTTTCTCTCTGCTTGAGAGAAGAGAAAACGAAAACAAAAAATGAAAAACGACTAAAAGTTATTTTTTATTTCTCTCTCATTTGACATAAAACCAACAAATCATTTTCATTTCCGTTTTTTGTCTTTATTGCGCCAAACGCTGTTTTTGAAACGTTTTTTTTTAAAAAAAAAAAAAACGTAAAAATAAAAACGAAATCAATTTCAAACACGACATTTGATTCTTCCATTTTAATTTTCATCATCTTGATACTTTGCTTGTCCTTCCTTTATATGATATCTTTTTCATATGTCTTATCAATATAGCATGACAAACATTCTGGAATATTTTGGGAGGTTTTATACTTTATTCTTTACGGTAGGGTATTAAAGACTTTTGCATGAGGTTGTGTATTTTTGAACGTTTGGGTATGAATATCGTTTAATTTTGTGCACTCATCACTTCTTCTTGTATATAGTATAGTTAGTTTGACATTAATGTGCTGTTCAAAATTTTTATTATTATTGTTTTGATGGTAGTAATAAGTTGTTGTGACTAAAAGCACATATGTGTTTAGTAAATATTTTTTATAAAACTGCAATAAATACTAGAAGCATAAATTTTAAGTGTTTGGTAAATTGTGTAAAAAAATATTGTTGAGATGTAAATGATTAGAGTATATATATTTTAATACACATATTTATAGTTAGTTTTATTTCTATTTTTATGGTCAGTGTTTATAATATAAAAATATAATTTTAATTAATAAAATTAAAATAAGATTAATTTTAAAAATATCCTATGAATTATGCACCTTGTATAATTTTAATTGTAAAAATACCCCCTGAATATATCGGCACTTCATTTTAATTAGAAATGTTTTCTTTGTCGTTATATGATTTTCTTTTTTCCCGCTAAGGCTAGGGGCAAGACCAATAGATTCCTCTTTTTTTTTTTCTTTTTTTTTTCTTTTTGCTCTCTTAAATAAATGGAGATCAATCATATTGTTTAATACGAAGTAATTTTAATTTAGTAATACTTTTACAATAATTTTAAGGAAAATTTTATTTTAGTACCTAATGTTTCAAAGAAATATGAGTTTCGTACATTGTATTTCTTATAATTTTATGCATGTACCTTGACATTTTAGAATATAATTTTTTATACGCTAAGATAGTTTTTTAAGATGTGAAATATCAATTTTATCTTTATCTTTAATCAATTAGAAACTAAACTTTTTTAAACATATTTTTAAAAAACGCTTTAAATAAATTGAGCATTTTTAATTTTGTACTTTTATGATTTTTTAAAATAATTTTAATATGTTTTTTTTTTGGAAATCTGAATAAATTAAGTAAAAGTATAAACAACATTTCACGTTTTAAAAAACTGTTACAAGATATCAAAAAGTTATTTTTTAAAACTTCAAAATATTTGCATGAACTTATTAAAAATATAAAGTACTAAATTTACATTTCGATATAATATACGTATTCAAATGAAAATTTCTCAAATATTTTGATACAACATTTCAAGTGTGTTTAGTTTAAAAATTCATATAATAATTTATGACTTATTATAATATTTTTTCTCATAAAAAATACATATAAATTAAAAATAATTTTAAATTATAATTTTAAATTCATCAACTAAAGATGCTCTAATTGTCTATCTTCTAATGCTGCGTGCTCCGATCGTAACAAGTCCTTTACTTTACAAGTTCAATCACATGAAAAGATGATTATCGTGAAAATTTTATTTATTTATTTAAGTTTTCACCGATTCACATGGGAGGGGTGAGAGTTTGTGAGGGGTGAAAGTAACTGTGACGATGCTCTACACTCAAATCCAGTATAAAAGCCACGTGTTGCATTTCTATAAGTTTCCAAACAGACAAAAGTCAAACTACTGAGTCAAAGCAATAAGAGGCCGAAACGTATCAGACATGCGTGGATTCGAGCGCCTCAAGAACTGAAAAATGATTGGAGATCATAGGTCACACCAACGTCAGCTTTCTGCATCAGAGAAAATATATTACTTGAAATTTGTATAAATATATCTTGGATTTGAAGTTTAATTCCTTCTTAAAAGGAAAAAAATTGAGGGGTTCTCCGGTACGAAAAAAAACTATTAGTAATTTTTATTTTTATTTTTAGTTATTAAATTTAAACTAAAAATTATATATTCTGTATATTTTTTAATTTAGAGCACATTTAGTTTATGGATTAGAATAATTTTTAATTTACGTGTATTTTTTATGAGAAAAAATACTGTAACGAATCATGAACTATGATTCGAATCAGAAAATAAATCCTCCAACCAAATAGGCTCTTAATATGTTTTTATCAGACTTAACAGTCAAAAATTAAGTTCTACAAATAAAAAATCCACCGGAAAAACTCTTTAAAAAAATGACTTCGTCAATTATACTCACGGGTAATTCACTCACAATGTTTAAAAACTCATAATTCTCATAATCTAATTAAATAGTGATTTGAATTTTATTTTTTGTTTATACCTTATATTATTAAACTCCAGTTTAAATAGTAAAAACACATAAATTTAAATTCAAAAGTTTAAACCCACTTAATTTAAACTCGCGAAGCCTATATACATGATAAATATTATTATCTATACTAGAAGAGGCACTCTTTTTACTGTTCTTTGAACAGTGTCAATTCTTTTTTGTCGCTCAACTTTTAAAAAATTATATTTGTATCCTCTCACTTTTACTTTTACCGTTCTTATTCCTTCATTTGTTTTGATTAGAGATGCAATAACGGGCCGGCCCATTCTCCTTAGGCTCACACGGGCCGTGGGCTGAGCCGGCCCATGGACCGATATATGTTGGCTCAGTCCAGCCCACTAATATTAATGGGCTGGGTCGTACCTTGAACAGTGACGGGCCGTGTCGGCCGCGCCCGTCACTGTGTTAGGAGGTGCCTGGGCCGGGCCACAGGCCCCAGTCCATTGTTGCATCTCTAGTTTTGATCATTTTCATAGTATATAACTACAAGTCTTAGAAAACTTCTTGGAGAAGCTTTGTTAACCTTTTTCTTTCATTTTTGCCCATCTTTTTTTGTTTATTACTCATTTAGTGTTAATTGAAGTGAGAAAGTGTACTTTGAATGGTACATTTTTAACTAAAATGACGTAGTTTTTGTTGAAAGTGTACAACTTTCTCACTTTTTTTGAGTTTTTTTTTGTTGTTTTTACTTTTCATCCTAAAACTTATTCGTATTTTTTATTCTAGTCCTTTTAATTTATAATTTTTTTCTTTTTGTAAATTTTATTTTCATTTTCATTTTTGATTCCTTTTGCCTTAAAATTTATTCATTTTTCCCTTTTGGTTTTTTATTGATAATGTTTCTTTGCTTCTTGCCCTAAAATTTTTTACCCTAAAACTTATTTATTTCTTCATTTTAGTCCTATTTATTTTTTTACCTTTTGTCCTTAAATTTTTCTATTTTTTTATTCTTTTTGCCTTAAAACTTATTTATTTTTTTATTTTAGTACGTTTGCCTTAAAACTTATTTATTTATTCATTTTAGTCATTTTTTGACCTCTTTTTTATTTTTTTACCTGAAACTTTAAATTTTTTTTTTCGTTTTGGCTCGTTTTGTCTTAAAACTTATTTATTTCTCCATTTGTCCTTTTTTGACTTTTTTTATTTTTTTTCCAAAATTTTATTTTATTTTTTGTTTTGGTTCCTTTTACTCTAAAATTTAGTTATTTCTTCATTTTTGTCATTTTAACCCTTTTTTATTTTTCCCTCAAACTTTATTTTTTCACTTTGGTTTTTTTTGTCTTAAAAAAATATTTATTTATTCATTTTAGTCTTTTTTTAACTTTATCTTAACTTTTTACCCTAAAATTTATTTTTTTTCTTATTTTGATTCTTCATTGAAATTTTATATATAGATTTATATATCTTTAATAATAACATAATAATTAATTAATTATAACTTAACACACAAATTACTTTACACGTGCTTAGTTAAAGATTAAAGTAAATAGTAGTATAGTACAACAACAAAAAAAAAAAGCGCCAACGCGGGACCTTCCTTTCGGTTTTCTATATAATTCCAACGTACGTTCCTGGAGAGAGAGAAAAACAAAAGAGAGAAAGAGCTTACAAAAGCAAATTGACTTGGGAGTGACGACTCGGAAATTCTCTCTCATCAGTCTTTCTCTCCCACTCTCACAGTGTTCCTTTGCATTCTAGTGATCTTTTTTTCTTGGATTCTGCTTTCCTTGGAGCTTAAGGTTCTTCTTCACTCTCTCTGGTGAGTTTCTCTCTGCTCTGCGGTGTTATTTTAGTGTAGTTTGTTATCACACCTTTTTTTTTGTTTTTGTTTTTTTTTACATGTTTGGCGTTTGCTCCTTTAATTTTGTTTTCTGGGTTATAGATTTTATTGGAAAAACTGGAATTATATGATGGTTTCCTAGTGTTGGAAAGTGGGTTTCTTTTCTCTACAATCTGAGCATTAATTGGTGGGTTCTTTTAATCATCTTGTTATAGCGCTTTATTTATCCTTCTTGGCATTTTGATCGTTTCATTCACATTAGTTTTTAGTATTCAAGAAGTTTTCTCGTCTTTTCCTATGAATTTTGATCATGTAATTCAAAGGGTGTACTTTCTTACTTTTAATTTAAAAAAATTAAATTTTGGTGTATTAATATGGCTTTACTAGTACTTCTATTTTCTGTTTAAGAAGGAAAGAAGGGTAAAAATATATTACTTAAGACAATCTCCAATTCTATAGAAACAAAATACAAAACTATTCTTCAATTATTTTTAGTTAGATTAATAAATGACTAAATTCAGTTTCTTGCTTTTATATTTTGTGTAGATTTAGACTAAAAGGACTTGAATTAATAAATATGACTAAATTCAGTTTCTTGCTTTTTATATTTTATGTAGGTTTAGACTAAAAGGACTTCAATTTTGTCTTCTTTTATTGGTTAATTTTTGCAGGTTTGTGGGATAACTTATATTTCCAACATTTTGAAAAACTGTCCGTCTCTCAAGAGGAGCATGTAAAATTAACCAAAATAGTGGAAGATATGCATAGTTTTTAGTCTAATTGCAAGCCGAACACAGGAAACAAACGCATCATTGCAATTCATTTCTGATCATACTGATCTCTGAGTTTTGCAGGTCCTTCTTGGTACCTGACTCCTACGTAAATTTACATTTGTTTAAATTAACGTTACTCCTAAAGTTTTTGACTTTCCAATGCCAAAATTTCATAGCTAGATCTGGGATTGTGCAAAAAGTGTATCTGAGAATATGAGATTTAACTTTTCTCAAGTTTTGCTTGGTTGTTTAGCATTTAAAGGGTAATTGCCGTATTTCTTCTTTGGAAGCTAAATTTGCTGATGTAAAAGGTTTGAGGAGAAAATAGAAGAAGGAAATTTAAACTGCTTTCTTTTATGTACTGGAAGTAATGAAGAGTACCCTTTTCTACCCTTATTACAAGCATAATACTATAGCACTTAGTTTCCCTATATTTTATGATCAAAAGACTAGGGACCATTCAGTAGGTAAAACAGAAACGCTATAGGTTTTTGTCTAATACACATCTCTTAGCTTTTCTCACAGTTTCTTGCTTGTTTAGATACTCAAGGTTTTTCCTTGAGAAGTATCATACGATTCTTCAAATTTATATAGTTATTTATTTATTGAAATTTTCCTTGAGCTTTGACTAACTGACCTGCTGCCGGTAGAAAGTTTGTATCTTTCATAGTGGTAATGTGTGTCTGCTGAAACTAGGACACTGGAATTCACCTGATTCCGATGGGTAAAACGATACAATTGTCTGGATTCCCTTCACATGTGTCTGCTGAAAGTGTTAAGGAATTTCTGGAGGGACATACAGGAAGAGGAACTGTTTATGCTATTAAGATTCGACCAACAAAGAACGGGGGTTCAAGATCCTATGCTATAGTGCAGTTCATGACCGTCGAAACTGCTGAGCTTATTATCCGCCTGGCTAACCCGCGCCTGTGGTACGGAAGATCATACCTCTTGGCCCGGGTAATGGAACGCGATATCGTGCCAAAGCCAAGAGCAACTCTCTACAGTTTGCAAAATGTAACTCTGCATTTTGGCTGTCAGATATCAAAGGAAAAGTTTTCTTTTCTGTGGAGAGTGGGGAATGTTTCTGTGGATTTTGGGCTTGGACTCCGAAGATTGAATTTCTACCTGACATACGGCCCTGTAGAATACAGACTTCAGCTCTTATATGAGAATGTTTGGCAGATCGAGTTGCATCGTCCACGCGGTCAAACTGCCAAGTATCTTCTGATTCAGGTTTCTTGTTGTATCTTTATTTGTTTCCATTACTGTTTGAAACACAATATTTTAATACTTAGGCATTTTTTCGTACACTGCAGATGTTATGTAAGTTTGTAGTTTTTCCATAGTGAATTTTCTTATGAAATTCTATGTGAAGTTTTCTAGTCTATGGAAATAGGGTAATGTTTTCGGGGCTCGAGAGAAATGCACCTCTCTCTGCTTGTTAATAAAATGGAAACTTGTACATTTTACTAAAGATTTCAAAACAGGATGTTAATTTTTCAAATACTAACAAGGTACTTTTAATATGAGTGGATAACTCCCAAAAACTAATAAATTGGGAAAAGTAGTTTTTTTTTTTTTGGGTGCACTAACAATTAACAAAAGCTCCAGATTGTATTTAGTGGGCATCTTGTTGGGGAGGGGGAAGGGTGCGTTGGTTTCCCAAATGAGTTGTGTTTAATTGCTGACATTTAAGACGGAGGCTACACGGTGCAATTGAGAAATAAATGTATCATCTTGAATTTGAGCTCTTTCCTTTTATTTATTTTTATTCTTTTTACCTAACGTCTATAACATATTCTAAATGGATTTTGTTTCATGCATTGTTAGTTGCTTGGTGCTCCTCGGGTTTACGAGAAAGAAGTGAGAATTTCATTTGATATACTTGAAAACCCTCTCTTCAACTATTTCAAGGATACTCCTGATGACCAATGGGTTCGGGCTACTGATTTCACTGAATCATGCTGTATTGGTCATTCTTCTGCCCTGTATTTGGAGCTGCCTTACGGGGTTGATCTTCCAGACCTTCGAGAAAACTTTGTTTACTATAAAGAGAGTGAAGAGAGATTCATATTAGAGAGTGGTAGTTCTTTCTCTCGCAACCTGGATCTAGTTCCCATTGTTGGTCCTCCTTCAGGCATTAATTTGCCATTTGAGACGGTGTTCAAAATAAACATGCTGCTTCAAAATGGTTGTCTTTCAGGACCAACACTCGATGTTGATTTTTATCGGTTGGTTGATCCACAGAGAATCAGAAACGTTGACTGTATAAATTATGCCCTTGAGAAACTATTTAATCTAAAAGAATGCCCCTATGAACCTGCTGCATGGCTTAATGAGCAATACAGGAAGTACCTTACAGCGCCGAGGCCTCCGAAACCACCAGCAATAGCCCTGGATTCTGGATTGGTATATGTACGTAGGGTCCAAGTAACACCATCCAAAGTATACTTTTGTGGCCCAGAGATTAATGTCTCTAATCGTGTTTTACGAGAGTACATTGATTACATTGACTACTTTCTTCGCGTTTCATTTGTTGACGAGGAGTTAGAAAAATTGTTTTCAACAGATCTGTCTCCACGTACATCTAATGCAAATGAGGATAGGAGAACTGGAATCTACAGAAGAATTCTTTCTGTTCTCAGAAACGGCATTGAAATTGGGGATAGGAAATTTGAGTTTCTTGCATTCTCGTCCAGTCAATTACGTGATAATTCGCTTTGGATGTTTGCTGCTGTGGATGGGCATAGTGCTGATACAATAAGACAGTGGATAGGAGATTTTCGCAGTATAAGAAATGTGGCCAAGTATGCTGCCAGACTGGGTCAATCCTTTGGGTCTTCCACGGAAACTCTTACTGTTGATGAGAGTGAGACTGAAGTTATTTCTGATATAGAGATAGAGCGGGGTGCAGTCAAGTATGTTTTCTCTGATGGTATTGGAAAAATATCATCAACATTTGCTAAGAGAGTTGCGAAAAAATGTGGCCTCAAAGATTGCGTTCCATCTGCCTTTCAGATCCGGTATTGTGGGTACAAAGGTGTTGTGGCTGTTGATCCAACCTCATCAACAAAATTATCATTGAGGAAGAGTATGTGGAAGTATGAATCCGAGCTTCACAAACTGGATGTTTTAGCCTATAGCAAGTTGCAGCATTGTTATCTGAACCGCCAGTTGATAACTCTCTTATCAACTCTTGGTGTTGGGGATCGAGTTTTTGAGAAAAAACAAAGGGAAGCTGTACAGCAGCTGAATGCTATTCTGAACGATCCTCTAAGAGCTCGGGAAGCTCTGGATTTGATGTCTGCTGGTGAGACTACTAACATCCTGAAGGAGCTGCTCTCGTGTGGTTATCAACCTAATGCTGAGCCATTCCTTTCGATGATGCTGCAAGCATTCCGAGCATCAAAGCTGCAGGAGTTGCGGACTAAAACAAGGATCTCTATTCCTGATGGAAGAGCCATGATGGGATGTCTAGATGAAATGAGAACCTTGGAATATGGAGAGGTGTTTGTCCAATTTTCAGGAATCACACATAGGCCGTTCTTTGAAGATTCCTTCATGCTTGGCGGCACTGGTTCAGGTCAGAATTATATTGTCGTCGGACGGGTGGTGGTTGCCAAAAACCCTTGCTTACACCCAGGAGACGTTCGTGTTCTAAGAGCTGTTAATGTGCCAGCTTTGCACCATATGGTGGATTGTGTTGTTTTTCCACAAAAAGGATCGAGGTGAGGTTTTCTCTTACTACTTCTGTAGCCTTAATTGGTGTTATGTATTAATTTTCAGGATCAATATTTTGTTCGGAATGTTACATTTAAAAAATTATCTTAGGATCTCAAGCACAATTCAACGCTGCTTATCTGGATTCTACATTATTTTCGCTCTATCTTCCATTTCAGGCCTCATCCAAATGAATGTTCAGGAAGTGATCTGGATGGAGATATTTATTTTGTTTGCTGGGATGATGAATTGATTCCTCAAAAGCAATTCGAACCTATGGATTATAGCCCAGCACCAACTACAAGGTTGGATCATGATGTCAGAATTGAGGTACTAATCTCTTGCATAATCATGCATGTAGCATTATTGTTATTATTTTACTTTTCCCTCCCTTTTCTCTTTTGCAGATTGTGTCGTCTAGCTTCCGACATCTGTTAAGATATCCACTTGTTGATTGTATTATAGGTTAATTAAAACGGATCATGTTCTGTGTTACTATTACTTTGGGTAATCAGATACTATTCTTTTTATTTAGTTTTTTTCTCCAATAGTCACTTTATAATGGGTTGAGACGATGGACTCGACCATGATGTTGAATGAATTTCTTTGCATATTATGCCCTTTTTTAATCAATCTTCAAGTCTTTGCTTTGAGTTACCTATCTTAGTTTTATTTAGTAGACGTATGGTCTGCAGTATTAGGTTTCATTTTATTCTATCGTATTGCTCAACTTGTAACTATAGTGCATTTGGTTTGTTGTTGGATTGAGACACTGTATTTATACGACACAATTTCTTCAAATTCAGATTTTCAGCATGTACACACATGTGATGAACAAATTCTTTGTTTCTCCAATGCAGGAAGTTCAGGAATATTTTACAAACTACATCGTCAATGATAGTTTGGGAATCATTGCCAATGCTCACACTGCCTTTGCAGATAAGGAGCCCTCCAAAGCAATGAGCCCTTCGTGCATAGAGCTCGCAAGGCTGTTTTCAATCGCTGTCGACTTTCCTAAAACTGGTGTGCCAGCAGTTATTCCCCAAGAGTTATATGTCAAAGAGTATCCTGATTTCATGGAGAAGCTTAACAAACCTACATACGAGTCGCAGAACGTGATTGGAAAGCTATTCCGAGAAGTAAAAGACATTGCGCCAAATGTTGGCTCTCTTCATTTCTTCACCAAGGAAGTCGCAAGTAGGTCTTATGATCCTGACATGGAATATGATGGCTTTGAGGACTACATTGATGATGCTTTCTACTACAAAAGCAATTATGATTACAAGTTGGGGAATCTTCTGGACTATTATGGGATCAAATCCGAGGCTGAGATAATTGGTGGCAGCATTATGAGAATGTCGAAATCTTTCACAAAGAGACGGGATGCAGAATCGATTAACATGGCTGTAAGGGCTTTGAGAAAGGAAGCCAGGACCTGGTTCAATGAGAAGGGTAGTAGTTTGGATTCTGCAGCTGATGATGTGTATGCAAAAGCTTCTGCTTGGTATTATGTCACGTATCATCATAGTTACTGGGGCTGTTATAATGAAGGAATGAATCGTGACCACTATCTTAGCTTTCCGTGGTGTGTTTACGACAAGCTTGTGCAGATCAAGAGGAGCAAGGCAAGTGTAAGGAGGTCTCTACAAATGTCGTCTCTGGAACGTGCTTTCGATCGTCGTTTGCATTTGGGATGAGCGGTATGGCTTTGCACCAATCTCTCCTTTGAAGCATGTAAAAATCAGGATGAAGTTATGGTAAATCTAAGTTACGTGGGTGTGTTACGACAGTATATAGATACAGTAATACTCTTTAGGTTTGCTTTTATGGTACGAATTTCGAATCATATTATAAACATGTATATACTTGGTTCTCTCTGATGATGAAATCTAATCAAGTCGTGACTTTCATGAAATGTTTGGTTTTACTTTTTCTGTTTATTTAGCTCTGATAATAGAGAGACGTACATGTCACGGTTATGTACAATAGCCATATGTCTTTCGTGAATGCTAGTCCATTTTGTAAAGCCTATCAAAAACTTCATCCATTATTTTTCTTTCATCTATTATGACCTTGCTATCAAGTTAAAGGAAAAAAAAAAAAAAAAACACATATAAAACAGCATTAAATAGATTTATATTTACCTAGATCCATACCCTCTCTCTCTCAAACGAAAAACAGAGCAAAAGCGTGTCAGTGTTTAGCCAAATGGAACTTTGGCGCTGGTGCATCACTTGGTTTCGGCCGTGAAAGTTAGTCATCGGATTTGTCTTGACGTTGACTTTCCCGTGGTGGTGGCTGTGTGTAACGGTGCAATCGTTAGAGTGGATCTAACTTGCATTGGCGGTTGGTTGCCATTTGTTTGGATCGTTGTTTCCAGCATGTTTCTCGGCTGGTGGTTGCACTCTCTTAGGATGTTGGTCTGTGTGATGGTGAGTTTCTCGCGGAGGCGGTGGTTTTTATCCTGTCGGTGGTTGGAGTGCTTGTCGTGGTACAATTTGATGACGTTTCCTCCACTTTGTCGTGAGCCTCTTGAAGTCTGCCATCCCCAGTGGTGCTTTTGTCGACTGTCTCCTCGTCGGAGTCTGTTGATTGCAGTTAGTAGCGGAGCTAGAAAATTTATTCACTGAGGGCGTGATTAAACTAAAACTTTCAATTAAAATGACATTATGACTATTTTAATTCAATTTTTATAGTTTACGGTTTAAAATATTATGAATTCACATATTATTATAGTTGATTTTTTGTTTAGTTGGTATTTCTAATTTAAAATATATGTATATTAAATTCAAAAGTTACATTTCAGTGGTATAATTGAAATTTTTCTAAAAACTTATGTGTAAATGTTGTAAATTATGGGGGCAAAGTAAGAAAAAAATTGCAAACAAAATTATTTTTGGGTTGTAATACAAAGGAGCCAATTGGGCCAGTAAGGGCAGCTGTCCTCATTGGGCCCAATATGCTTCCGCCAGGCAGTGGTTAGGGTCTATTTTTTAGTTTTGTATTTTTGTTTGTAGAATTTTCTTAGGCGTATCGTGATATTTTAAACTTTGTTTAATTTGAATGCAATCTCTCCTGTAAAAAAAAAAAAAAATGAAATTGTATAATACCTTGAAACTGAAACTTCATGACAAACTCCCTTATTTTTGCTTTTAACAACATACAAAGAAATTTAACACAAAAATAAATCTAAATAATAACTCAATAACGATTAGATTATAACTCCGAACTAAATGGTCTTGCTGCTCTTTATTTACTAGTTACCCTGCCAAAAAAAAAAAAAAAAAAAAAAAAGCCATATGGCTAGAATTACCCAAATAAAAGTTACTGAAAATTTTAAAACCAGTTTTATGAAAAATAGATTTCTCTAGTACGTACAAAAAAAAAAAAAAAATAAACTATCAAAAGATTCTGTTTTCAACCGTCAAATATGTAAAAGACTATGTTGTCAGCCGTCAGATATGCATCAGAAACTGTTTGTGCTGTCTACTTTTTTACTCTAATATAATTTAACTAGACCCAACAGTTAGAAACTAATTCTATCGATGGAAAAACTTTGCTGGAGAAAGGCAATTATATAAATGGAAGAAGTTATACTTGTCAAATGAGTTTAGACTTGAGTTTAAGGTTACTTCAAATAGTGTCATTTGCATTTCCACACAAGGAAGAGCTGAGTTCCTTTCTTATATCTCAGAATCCGATTTAAATCCTTTACATTGTTTCGAATTATAACTTAAGTTTGTACTACAGTATTTTCTCTAATAAAAATTTAAATTTAACTTTCTCTGTTACATTTTTTTTTCTCTTACATGAATTCACTTTTTAACTCAAATTCTCAACTCGAACGAACGAAAGATATCTTTGAGTTTCCGACCATCGATAGGGAATCTCATCTATAATCTCAATTCCAACATATTTGCGGATTATAACCTCCAATATTGCAGCTCTTATGTGCAGAGCAAGTGCCTGTGGGGTGATTTGACCATTGATGCTTGACATAGGTTTCTTTATCTCCATTCTCTCAATTGCTAAAGCACCCATTTCCTTCTATGAATCATATCATCTCCTTAGGAGAGACAGCATACACAGGCTTGAATGAGTCCACTTGAGCTTCCCTGATTAAGTACCCATGAAGTAATTAACCTTGATTACTTTCCAAAATCTGTTCACTAACTAATAGCAAAACGCTAAGTATCAACCGTACGTGGCAGTTGTGTAGAACAATAATATGATTGGACTATACTTAATATGTGACCGTAGGATATGAAAAAAATATTTTATTAGTGAGATACAGTTGATGTTAAAATCATATTAGATTTAAAAAAATGTGTGGTAGATTCATATTAGATTAGTGGGTGCACTACAACAATAAAGGTCATTTGCGACGACATAATTTGCGACGACATTATGTGTGGTAGATTCTTGTAGTGGTGTAATTTGCTCTACGGTAGGGTCTTTCTATCTCTCCCTTTAATTATTTTTGTCTATTTATTCCCTTTTATTTTCATTCTCCCAAATTTGCAAGTCGAACAACTTTTTCTAGGTTTAACCCAAAAAAAAAAAAAAAATCATTAAAGAGAGAGTTTAGTTGAGTTTTTCATTTGGAAATATTTATAAATTCTATGACTAAATATGGCATAGCTGAAACTTTGGGGGGAAAAAAACTGTAATATGAACGTCTAAACTAAAAAAAGTTTCAATAGGAGCAAAAATATGGCTTTAGCTCAAGATTTCAGAAGATTGATATATGAAAGCTAAAAGTTTAGTCTTTGCATATTTTAAGTCATGCAGGATAATATATTTTTGTTTTCACACCATATTATTACTCGCGCTATATCGCTATTCCCAGGCGCTTCAAGTGTCAATAATTAACTGAAAACATTATGGTTAATTTAGGCTCTGCCCCTGATTAGAGATGAGAAAAGACTCTTAATTATTTGCTTTGGGAATATTATTAAGTTCAAACTTCAAACATTCAAAGGTTGGGAAAGAGTGCCAATCAGGTGATAAGTTGGGAACCAATATATGCACATATTAGCTTTTCTAACTGACTGTCGATGTCTAATTCAGGAGTACATGTACTCTATTTAAATACCAAAAAGAGAAAATAATAATTTTTTTGCAAAAAAGAATAAAAATTATTTGAGTCTAATTAGATATCATTCATTTCGGTCGTTCAAGTTGAGAACTTGAATTAGAAGGTGAATTCATGTGAGAGAAAACATTATAGTATAAAAAGTTAAAATTTCAATTTTTACAAAAATAAATATTATAATAAAAACTTAAATTGTGATTCGAATTAGTGAAAAGAAGAAGGCATTAGTATATTTTATGCGATAATTTTATCACTACTATTTTATTTACTTTTGATGTATAGAATGATATTTTTCAAGCAAGTTGGTCCACTCTATATTGCTTTTATGTAACTAGGGCTATAGCTAGCTAGGTATACAGCACATGTTGACTGACTATAATGTGCATTTGCATGTGCGTGAACGTTAACGGGACAAGATTTACTCTCATATCATGATAACAAAAAAATTCATAATATATATATAGATATATATATATATATATATTATTACTAGACGAACCCATATCAAGTGCTTTCTTCGAGAATGCACCAAAATTATTTCAATAAAAACTATATTAAAATTTCAACTCATTGCAGCCTTCCCAGCTGTTTCCTTAAAATGAACAATACATTTGAAGTTCTAATTAATGTTATAACCTCTCAAAACGACCTTAACGAAGTCCAATGGCCGGTTATGGTTTTGTTAATCGCATATATTAATTTTTTAATAAATCGAACTAGAATACAAACATCATAGGTATAGGTAAGTAGTGGGTCCGGTGTAGTAGTAAGTATGTCTTTATTAAGTCTTCTTTGTCATCCTCTTAGAGTTTAATACTCCATATTTACACGTTGTTGTCCTGCCTCTTGTGGGAAATTAAGTGGGCATCTACGGGCTTCACAAAAAAGAGGAGAATGAAAACTGGTTGAATGATTAGTGAGAGATTGATTCAAATCCTTTTCATAGTCTCTAAAAGTACTTACTATAGTTAAAAGAGGTTAGTAGACTTGAAAGTACAACACTAAATCTTTTTTTAGTAGCCAAAAGAAAAAAAGTAGTGGGTCCTCCTGAAAATAGTTAAAAGATGTACTTTTTTTTTCTCTTGCCAAAACCTTTTATAGCAATACTATGTATCATTATTCTGCATTCAAAAGGACGATATATATAATGATGGCATATGAATACGTTAATATGTTTTTATGGTATCTTTGTTTTTTTTTTAATTCACTATTTGTTATTTATCACCCGATCTGTTTACGTTTGGCAATTGAAGTTTGTTTTGCTGCCGTTTAAATGCTTATTTTATATTTTCAAGGTAGTGCTTGTTTATAATTTCAGTGACGTTGCAAGTAATTTAATGATATTATTGTCTATGAACTGGTAAAAAAATACTATATTCTACAGATTATTGTCTTACCGAATTTAGTGTATATACATTTTCATGATGGTGTTATGGTATTTTTTTTTATGAAGTTGATATTATATTATGACGTAGAGCTTGTTTGTAATTTTAGTGACATAATGACATTATAAGTAATATAATTGATATTACTTTTCACGTTACTGTATATGAAATAGGCGGATTAATTAAAATTTCAAGATTCAAAAATTGGGATTGATAACGTAATAAACTTGGATTTGAAATAAGTTCTTTTAAAAAATTCAACAATGAGAAAAATATGAAAATTAGTTCCTGCACTAAAAGCATGACAAAATTAACTCATAGGATATTTTTGGGTTATGAAAAAATGCATTAAAACAATCAGCCATATGAATGATATTTGTACGATTCAACTCTCAAAAAAACAATCAGATCGTGCAATTTTTACTATTTTCATTGGATTGTTTAAATGTGACTAAGAAACACATCCAATGATGAGACTAAGGAAGACGACCAATCAACTTATATAATTGCAATTTAAGTAGTCTGCACTATATAATACTGAATTTGATTATTATAGCTTCTATTTAATAGTCAAATTGTCAAAATAACATAGCGCTTAATTAAAAGGCACATACACAGTGACATAGCCAGGATTTATTGATAGGAGGCTAAAAATTTTTTTATCAAAATTATATTAATGTTTATGAACTTAATAAATTGAATATTTTATTTTTTAAAATCTAAATAATTAGCTCAATAAAATGTAGAGAACTAATTTAAAGGAGAGCAAGTATAATTTATACACATACAACCTACTATATTAAAATTAAAACCATTATATTAAAAAAAGGGAAAAAAAGCTGGGGGGCCATACACCCGCCTCCCTCGCACATACCCCCTCCGTCGCATACATTAATTATATATAAGACAACATTATAACTCGTCCACACACACACACACACACACATATATATATATATATATATATAAATGAGCTTTCAATAGTTATATATTTTTATGATAGTTACCCATTAAATATAGAAATTCAATGACATAGTCTGATAAAAATTTAATTTTATTAATTGTCATAAACTTTTTTAATCAACTACCAAATTTATTATGACTGTCATCGATCAATATATAATTATTAAAATTACGATATCCACTGATAGATAAATATTAGAGTAATCATTAAAAGTACACTCATATATTTATATATATATATATATATTCACACATTTAATTACTTTACCATGTTATTGGCAGCTTGTTTCCTGCAATATCATTTCGTCCTGTGAGATGGGGAATATAAAGCATACTGCAGCCTTACAAATTACTTATAACCGGTTTCCCTATGCTGAACCAGATCAGGATCAGCAGACAGAAAGAATAGTCTCGCTGCAACATGCATATTTATTAGTATTCAGTATCCAATGATGAGAACTGTGACGGCATATATAATGATAATGAGATATAAATAAAAGCTACGCTTAGAAGTAACAACCCATTTTGCATCGGTCAAGTTTAATTATTCCAAATATTCCAAAAGAAAAATAGTTTTTTTTTTTAATTTATCTCTGAGTCTACTTTTATTTTTAAATACGACTGCATTTTTTTATTTGTTTAATTATTTTGAGACATAAATAATTAATACCGACAAAACCTAAAAGTTTCTTCCGTACAATTTTTTTTCTAATTTTTATTTTATATAGAATAAATAACTAAAACGAGAGAAGAAAAAGATCCATAACAAAAAGTTGTGGAGTATATAATTAATTAAGGACGTTAGCATACACTCGAGGCACGATGCATGGGGGGTCACAAGTAGAATACAAAATGATTTCGATCATGAAAATGTTTACAGCTTGTACAAATTCTTCACTTGATGATCATAAGTATTTCATATCGAATTTTGTGTACAATATATGTAGAGGAAAAATAATATTAACAAGTTTTTTTCTCTAACTTTAACAAGCCGCATTTTTACTTAAGTTTTAATTAATATTCTTTTAGATACAAATTAAATTACTCGGTTCTACTATATTCTACTCCATTATATCTACTTGATTTTTAGCAAAGTCTTACTCAAAAGCAATATTAAGCATGCATATATATTCAAATACCAGTATAATAAATTTGCCTTCATACTACATTTCTACACGATCAGGGAACTATATGTTGTGGGAAATGAGCAATTTCCATGGATCCAATTTATTATTTATTTATTCTCTGAATACTTATTGGATTTGTCTAGCTAGTTGGTCTTGCACATAACAAGTAATCCATTTTTGTACATATATTTCCATGCATGCTTGTCTCAAGCAGATGATTTCCAAACAAAAAAAAAAAAAAAAAAAAGATGTCACATGCTTATGATCTTCTTTCGCTTCAAGACAATAAAGAGCTGAACATCCTGGTTGCACCATTGAGGAAGCAGCTCAGAGTGGTCCAAATGTTTTTTGGTCAAACGCTTAAACACTTCATCGACAACCTCATTACTTCCAAAGTGTTTGATGAAATTTCCTTCCATTGCGGCTCTTGCATGCATCATCCACGCCGGTACATCGACGGCAGCGCCTTTCAACCATGACGATGGCTTAGATAGCTCCAACCTTTCAATGCTAAAACAACCATTTCTCTCCACGATATCCACTATCTCCTCAGGAGAGGCAGATTGATATAAGGGCAAGTTGAAGGAGTCCACTTGAGATTCTTTAATCAATCCCTGTTGATCATATAAAGATTATGACCAATAATAGTTTTTTGGTCAGCACTCTCTAGAAAGTTAAACTAAACGGTAAAACATATACGAGGGATCAAATTTATCCTTCAAAGAACAGGGGTCGTCTCACTTTCCTCATCAAATCAAAATGATACAAAATTGCCCCTGAGCTTATAGAAGTTGCAATTTTGACACTTTCATCAATGAAGTCAAATTTTTAACGTTTTAATTATGTGTCGATCACGTGACTCATTCGTAAAGATATATGGGAGAGCGATGAAGATGCGGGATTTTGAAGAAAAGGAGCTGGTGGTAGTTAGGGTCAAAATGAGGAAGCATTACAATTTTATTTCGGCTTTTCAAAATTTTAAAGTATGTTTTTATATAATTAAGTTATTATATTTCATTTGTCAAGCAGTTATGTGATCTACATGTGATTAAAACCGTTAAAGAAAATAACATTTATTGCTATAAGTATCAAAGTTAAAACTTTGACAAACTCAGGGGTCAATTTTATGCCATTTTAATTGCAGAGGGCAAAATGAGGCAACTCCTATTTTGTAGTGGTTCGATTTGAAATTAACTCTAATTTGTTATAGTACTAATAAAAAATACTTTATAAATAAAAATGGTTTTATATTATTTTCTATTATGTTATTGTCAGGTGACTACAAGTACACAACAATTTTGATTACTAGAAATAATTTTTTTTTTGACAATTACTCAAAATAATATTTATAACATGCATTATCATGATTACTCGTAATTACTATGATTACTATAATAATCTCAAATAACAGTGGGAAAAAAAAAAAAAACAAATACTATTCTTGAAATGCTTATTTTTTAGGGCTACGAAAAAATTAACCCTAAAGAATAGCATGGAAAAGTGGTATGAAGTAAACCAACACTAATGAAGGGGAACTTACCTCCCGCACCATTTCCATAAGGGTAGACGCCATAAACTCAAACATTTTACCGTTTGCTGTGGAAGACAAAGGCAAATCAACAGGAGTTCCTGACATGATAATCACCAACATCCCTCCACCCACAAGCTCTTTAGCCCTAGCATCCAAAAACTTCCTCACTTCCTCACAAAACTGCGATTTGTAAGCATCAGCCACGTCGTCCGGCGCATTTGTATAGTGAACCCTCCCTTTGTTCCACGCCGGAGAGTTTTCCTCTTCCAATTCTGCGGGCAACTTGAAGAGCCAATGGAGAGAGTGGGACGTGTAAACGAAATGGAGAGATGACTCGGGGAAGATTCGATCGAGAAAGGAGCCAGGAACTCCGGCGACGAAGTAGTCTCGGTCTTCTGGGAGAGACTTAAAAAGGGTGTTGAAATCGTTCGTGACAAGGTCGTTGAAAAACAATTGAAACTCAGGCCTTGTTGAAGGTATTGCCGGACACTTATTGGCTTCGTACTTTTGTTTGATGGCTTCCACTATGTTTAGCATGTTCATAATGGTGTTTGGTCCTGTCGCACATCCCAAATCTGCTATTCGAATCGCTTTCGAAAGGGAAAGGTCTTCAACGTCAAACTTCTCCGCTATTTCCTCGCTGATCTTTTTGTGTTCAAAGATTGCTGATATTCTCTGATTTTTTTTTTTTTTTTTCGAGATTCTTTTTTTTTTTTTTTTTTTTGCCGGTCAAACCTTTCTGTGATTTTTTGTTTTTTTTTTTTTTTTTTTTTTTTTGGGTGCATACGCACAAGTTAGTTGTACCATTTTGCATATGAATTTAGCAAGCGTTAAAAAAAAAAAAGAAGAAGAAGAAGAAGAAAAAGGTTACTCAACAAATCAGGGCACATTTACTAATTGGAAATTGTATGAATTGGAGACAAGTTCCATGATAAAAAGAATAAGTTATGGTAGCTAGAATTAAGTTCTAGAATCCCATGTATTGGTGAAATAAATTCTTGATTATTTTATACTCTGCTAATTAACAAAGGATTTGGAATAATAATTAGTGTGGATGTGGTCGTTCTCTTTTTTTTTTTTTTTTTTTTTTTTTTTTTTTTTTTTTTTTTTTTAGAAAAAAGGAAAGGAACGTAATTTCATATGTCGATATGAGAATTAAGTTTCTTAGGTGAGGCTCATTTCATTTAATCCTCAAAAAGAAAAATAAACGCTAGAATTCAAAATCACGACTTAATTCCAACGTACTTCAAAAAAAAAAAAAAAAAATTCAGGACTTTATTTTCTCTCTTAAATTTGAATTATTATTAGTTTAAAAAAAGATGACGGAAAGTATATTGTGTTTCTTGTAACTTGTTTGGTATGATAAAGAAAAATAACTAAATGTCTTCTTCCAAATAGTAGTAAGTATAGAAATGAAAAGATTTTCGGGGAGAAACTGAAAGATTAGGCTCTTTTCACTCCTAGATTTTCTTTCACTTTTCACCTCTACCATTTAAAGCATAGAATATGTATATTTTTAGGAATTACTTCCTCGATAATATTTACAAATAAAATACAGTCATTAGCTAGTGCAGATACAACTTATTACAAGGTCGAATATAAAAGCTTATGAAAATGGTAAATTCTATGTCGAATATCTTGACCCGCTCATGCCTAGAAATTCCGACAACTAGCTAATAGGCGCCCTAGTTAAGAAAAAGAAAAATTATATTTAACCCATCTTTTTACCTTTTTTTTCTTTTTTTTTTTTTTTTTTTCTATGTGATCTTCTTTCAGTTTGCCTAGCTCCTGAAGAGATTGATAGGCAAAGTTCTTTTTTAAAAAAAAAAATCTGTTACTATATTTTTTTTCTTTTTACCATAGTTATTATGTAATTGTGCATATGGTTAGAGTAATATATCATAAAAGAGGTTTTTTAACCACCGAAATAACACTTTTAAATTTTCTAATTAGATTTACTACTTTTTGTGTCTTAGATAATTTTTTGACATTTACAAAAGATGTACTACGTACCAATACCCTCCTCATGATTACAGAAGCCCAACAATTTCGGAAAAGACAAAAAAAAAAAAAAAGAAAGAAGAGAGACAAGAAGGATTATTAGAACAAGAAAACAATCATCTCCCTCTTCTTGTGCTATATCTATAGATTTATATATATACCTGATAGTAAGAGTTTTTGAAGTAGCTGTAACTGCCATTTCCTCCATTCGTCGGCAATAAACTTGTCACCTTTTTAAGGCCATTTTCACCATTCATCAGAGAGGAATCCGACATTATTAAGCTACACTCTAATTAGAATCATGTATTTCTACCAATGTTTTTGGGGCAAGGTTTTAGTGAGAAAAGTACTCACATTATATAGAGAACAAAAAGCAGCAAATTAAAGAAGCCATAAGAAAGGGAAAAGGCGGAAAGCAAAAGCATCGTGGTGGTACCACCATAGGAGCATCCATATAGACATTAAATATTGGATTTTTCTTTTTTGCCGAAACATACATTAGGTATTTAACCACGTAACATGGTGGTCCAAATCTGACCTCTTCGAAAGAGACATTAGTGGTTTACGTTTGATATAAATAGTGGTTAAATATTTATGTAACAACAAGTACTATATTAGTATTATCTTAGATTATTTTGCCCTACAAATCATTGTCCTTTTGTCTATACAATTTAGTTTTACATGGATCAATTAGATATTTAATGGATTGATCACTAATTTTCTGATGCTCGAGTTTATGTTTTAATTTGTTTAATTTTTTCCGACCAAGTTTGTTAAGGGAGAAATTGTTCAGTAATATTTAGTAGAGCACATTTTTACTTGAAGATCCAAGTGAATCTAAAATTGGACAATCCCGCTGAATCCTTGTTGATACTTGGAACATTTGAATTACTAGGAGATTGAGAACTCATTTAGCGGAGCTTTTGCTTTTGCTTTTAATTAATAGAAAAAGAGAAATAAAATCTAGGCGCCATTCTATAAGTATTTAGAGAAGCACAATTTTAAAAGAGTGCCTAATGGCTCGGCACAATTTTTTTAGAAATAATAATAAAAATGTTGAAATAAAGTTTATAATAAAACTCTAGCGTAAGTTCCAAAGAATATTTAGAAGTGATTGTTTTAGAAGCCTCTCATTTTTTAACTTTGAATAGAAACTTTTAAAAAAAAACCGAAGCTCTTTGACGGAAATCCAAGCACTTCCAAACAATTTTTAAACCTAGAAACTGAGAAACATCTTCTAAAAGGTTCTGCAAAACAAGCTCTAAATCGTAATGAACCGTAAGAATTGTTAGTCTCTCCACATCAGTATTACTTTCTCGATAGATATGAGGAACTTCAAAAACTATTTTCCTCCATTAATTATCAAGAATTGCTATTGCTGCTCATCTATATTTAGAGCACCAAGGAACTACAATTATCAACTACATAGATGGAGTTGCAATCGAACCAGACCAATCCCAACTATACTTCGTAGAAAATCCATCTCTGTTAACATCTGGAATATCTCTCGGATCCATTAATCTATAAATTTGAGAGCAAACACCAAAAGCATAATAACTACACAAATATTTATTTGCTACTGGTTGAATTCTACTCTTAAATTTGTTTAAGGGCTAATGGCTGCTCTCGGGAGTTGATCACAGCGAGCTGATCTGGGTTGACTTGAGTCGATAGATTTCTGGAATGAGAGCATAAAGTGCAGAAAAATGAAAGCATGAATTTATAGTAGTTCATCTTCAATGTAAAGGCTACGTCCAATGTAAAGTCTCAAGGGTTTTACTATATCTTGTAAAAAGTACAATTACAATGATGAATGAGAATGGAGGAAGAAAGAGTAGTATGATGAATGAGAATAGGGGAAGAAAGAGGAGGGGAATTAAAGAGAGAATTTAAAGAGAGAAAAGTATCGGCATAATATGTGGATCCAGAAGTGTTTAAATCTTGATCTTCATCTCCTATTTATAGGAGATAGTCTTCTATTTTCCTTTTCTCTCGAGTTGCCTTGTTGTCGACTGGGAATGGCTAGTTTCATTTTTCTTGAGTTGACTTACCTTATTCTTGTTTCCATATTTGCTTTCTCATATCTTCCCTCTTTATTATGAAATCTAATTCGACCCTTTAATGCAAGATTTGGTTGAGTTGGTCTCCGTGCTCCTCAAGGAATCTCCTTTCCCAAATTATCTGCGGTGGTCCCCACATTCCTTCTGTCGTAAGTCATCTCCAGTTGTCATGGTCTCTTGAGTCCATCTTAGTCTTCTGTCAATTCTAATCGACCCATCTTTCCAAATAATGTCCACATATACGGTGATGATTGTGGTACTGATTTTGACTCTAACAGCTACATAATAAACATATATGGTTTATGAAAAGACTATAGCACATTAACATTACATATCCTAGGGGTATCAGTAATATGATATAACAAAGCAAGTTATTATAGTATATATTATTATCAGCTTTTTTCAATCATGTAATGAATTTATGGGTAAATGAATAATTTATTAATTTACGGAAAGTTTTATGTTTTAATTACTTTTGTACGTATACCTTTTTTTTTAACCAAGATCATGCATGAGTTATAAATAAGAACGATAATGATATGCGATAAAAAATTAATATGTGTGCAGAGAGAATTGTAAAAGTTATGATGTACATGATGAAAAAAATTAATTGTTGTTATGTACATGCATAGAAGCCCAAAATTGATGTATATTGTACGTACATTCAACATGAAGGTTAATAAGTACTTGGACATACAATAAATGTATTTTTCAAATTTAATACCATGGAAGATGAAGTGTTTTAAGATGTTCAAACAATAGTAACCTTAAATTACAACTTGCTATAACATAAATATATATATATACATATATATATATATATGAGATGTGGTGCATGCTTTGTAAAAAATTAAAGACGAAGTTGAGTTCAATTTAGATACAAAAAAAATGACTTTAGGTATATATTTTGTAAAAGAGTTAAATTGAGAAAATAGAAGTGTCAAGCAAAAAACTCTTTAACATTATGAATTATATATTTTTTTGTCAATTATTAATTTATATTTTCTTTGGGCTCTAAAAAAATGAAAAATATTATTATCTTATACATTTAGTGAGATTATTAATTTAGTATATTGGCCCGAGTCAGGACCGAAAATTTTTATTATTTTAGCGAGGTTATTAATACTTTTTAACGGCATATAATTGTATTCTCCCGAGCTAGACCGATCATATATTGGCTTGCTTCTAACGCAATTGCAATGCAGCCATATATAATATATATTTAAATTGAATAGAAATTGTACATGCCAACGTTGCAGAATATATAGAAATTGTACTATATTCATACGAAGATAACTGGCTAGGGCTGAGAACCCTAGCTAGACCGATCCTAGATATATATAAAAAAAGAAAAAAGGGTCCCCGTCGAATCTATCTTAACAATAAATACTTTACCATAGTAGCATAAACTGCATATAAAAAATTGAGTGGTCCATTAAAATTAAGGTATATTATTCCGTACATTAAAGTTGTTATTTAAGGTTAACATATATATACATATATATATATATATATATGTAGTGTATGTAGAATATGCGTTTGCGTGTGATTCCATTGGAGGAGTGTTTATTCAGAAAAAAACAAAAAATGAAATTACAGATAGTAATTATATATGTAGCAGTTACCAGTGGTTGCGCATCTATAACTGTCACCCTAGTTATCTATGTTATTTCAAATCAATTATTGATGTTCTTAAATGTTTAAAAATTGCATGATCACATGAGTTAAGACTAAATTGCATTTATGTTTTGTTTTTATCTATCTAGCGTACGATTAATATTCATTGAAGATTAGCTGAAGACACTAGTCAAATTAATAAGTTAATCATTTACTCATTTATTTAATTAGGATGTCAACGTACCCGCTACAAATATTTTGTCATGTCGTTTTCATGTTGTGTAAATTTTATGATTAATTAACGAGAGACAACGACTAACATGCATAATTGCTTCTAAGACACATCCCAATTAGCATCCATTCAAAATTAAAGCCATTCCACACTATAAATCATCTACTCTATGCTCATTAAAACAAAAGAAAAATACAAAGTCACAAAGAAGGAAAAAAAAAAAGAAAAGAAAAGAAAAGAAAACCCCAAAAGATCAGCGTATAATTAAGTTCTCATAATAAAGAAAAAGCCAGTAATAAAACTAAAAATCAAGTGTAATGAGTAAAAGTCCAAAACTAATGCATTCTAAGGAGTATTTGTCTATTTTTTTTCGATATGAATGTAAAAACTACACACGCAGCATACTAGCAACTAGCCAACTACGTACAATTATACCTCAATATAAAAAATATAATATATGTGAGAACCTCTACTGCTTCTGGAATTTAACAATTCGATTCACTGCATACATGGAAATCACATTCAAACCAAAGGAAATCTAATCTAAAGAGTTTAGCATATTCAACCAGTATGATGACACCCATTAATTCAGCCTCGAAAGCAAAGAAAAATCCAAACATGGCGAGACCGCTCAACCCTTGGCAAATCGTGTGATAAGTTCAAAAAACACCGCCATACCCCGCCGAGTATGAAGAACCGTTGGCAGCTTCGTTAACGTTAACTTTGATTGAACCTGAAATTGGAGTATGTCACCAAACTTTTGTAATTCTTGGAGACTTATGTTTTACTTACCACATGCAAGGATCATACCCAACTACCTCAGCGTCAATGAGTCATCTATGTAGATTGCAAAGCAAACATTTCAACTGTAAGACCTGGTAGACTACAAAATAGTGTTCTATACACACTGAACAACTTAATAAACTCTATTAGTATCAAAACCAAAAATTATTTGTGAAAATATGTTATAACCCTTAGGTAGAACTTATCCCCGTAAGCTAGCTTGTAGGGAGAGGATGTCCAAATGGTTATAAACTCACATGTTAAGCCCATACTTTAGCAATGTGAGACTCAACTAGGATCCTAACATACCACCATGCTTCCGACACCGACGTCCACGGCGGCCCACTCTGGATGGCCCACTCTGGCCTTTCCAGGTTGCCCCTTCCACAACGTGGGCCTGAGGAGGGCATGCTCTGATACCAATTGTTATAACCATTGGGTAGAACTCATCCTCAAAAACTAGCTTGTAGGGAGAGGGTACTGAAATGGTTATAAACCCACATACTAAGCCCATACATTAATAATGTGAGACTCAACCAAGATCCTAACAAAATATATGTGGAAAAATAAATGACATGGTGAT